TCCGGTAGATAAAGAAAATTCATTAGATAATCAACACCTGATTGATTTGGAGTTAGATAATAGGGACAATAATGGGTTTTCAAATATGAATGAAAGTAATGGAACTGATGATATGATGAATATAAGTGGTTTACCAAAGCCTAATGATCTATTAGAAACTATATCGACACCAAGAGAAAACCTTTTAGAATTACAAAATTTGTCTAATCAAGAAGAAGAGGGAGAACGGGAATCGTTAGCTTCTCTAAATGGTGTGGTGAATGAAGAATATACAATTGATAATGATTTCAGTAACGATTTGTTTGAGGAAGCATTTGATAGAAATAATGAACATAATGAAATTAGTGATAGCTCAGTCATACAACCCGATAAGCCTATGACTAGAGCCCACATCACTAGAATAACAGGAAGTGATAAAACTAGAACAGAACGAAACAATATAAAACTTTCCATGAATATGATAAAAAATGTTGTAAAGTCATTGCAAGTTGCACCTCCAAAGAGTAATGGTTCTACGACTTCACAAATAACACATAATCAAAAGCCCAAGAGACTATCTTCTGACATCTATGAGTTTATCCAGAAAAAGTCTGATGATTTTATTCTGAATGTGGTAGCGGACTTGGAAGCATATTCAAAACACCGAACTAACAACAAAGGGAATCAAATTAACATCAAAGATGTTCTTCTTTATTTAAATAGGATTAAATTTAGTACTGGTGATCAGAATAGAGTACAAGATGTTGATAGCATAAGTAACTTGGCTTATGAATTCTTGCCATTGGAGTTGCTTATTTCACTTGATAATAACTTACATGGCCGGGCAAATAGTCAGAAGTCTAAAACCTATGAAACGGAAGATCAGTCAAGGAGCTACGCAAGTGATAGCGAATCTGATTACGTTAATGAAATTGTTCCAAGGCGGATAAATATAACTAATGATAGAAGACATTTTAAAATATTAAGTGATAGTGAAACTGAATAAGTTTGCGCTAGACAGTCATAATTGTACTATAGATACATGTATATTAATAAATATTATTTACAAGACAAATGCATTTGTTAATTAGGTTCTCGCTGCATTGCAAGCTCTGCTTGGTTACCCTTTACTAATTTAAATAATTCGAAGATTGCAGCTGGTGTAACCCCCTGAATACGTCTAGCTTGACCTATCGTTGCAGGTTGTATAGTATTCAACAAGTGGCAAACTTCATAAGAAATTTTTAAATTTCCTTCATTTGTATAATTGTAGTTCAAAGGTAAAAGCAAATTCTCGTCAGCTTGATAGGCTCTTAAATGCGCTTCCTCTTTTTTCATCCAAGGTTCGTACGTACTTTCGACATTAATACGTCCCATTAATCTTCTGTTAACGTGGTTGTATAAGTCTGGTAACTCTCCATTAGAGGTAAAGTTATGCAAATGAGGAATTATATCTGAAAGGGTCACATCCTTGTAAGAAAGTAATTTCCAACCATCAACAACTGTAGTTCTACTCATATCCAGAGTAGAGCCTTTTAATACTGGTGCCCATTTTGCACCAGAGAATGATAGAGATTTTAAGTGTTCCTTTATAGAATCAAAATGTTTCATTTCATTCTTGAAGTGATTATATCTATGTTCACTAACAACACCAGCTTCGTAACCTTTTTGAGTTAACCTTTTATCTGCATTGTCAGACCTGATAGATATTCTAAACTCTGACCGTGAAGTAAACATTCTATAAGGTTCTTCAACACCTTTGGTAATTAAATCATCAACCAATACCCCTAGATACCCATCTGACCTATGAATATCCAACGATGGCTTGTTTGCATAAGCCAAACCAGCATTAATACCTGCTAAGCATCCTTGGGCGGCTGCCTCTTCGTAACCTGTAGTACCATTAATCTGTCCTGCAAGATAAAGTCCATCAACTAGCTTTGTTTCTAAGGTCATTTTTAACTCTCTTGGATCAACATAGTCATATTCAACACCATAACCTGGTTGTATCATGGTAACATTTTCGCAACCAGGCATCAATTTTACCATTTTCTCTTGTATTTCAGCTGGCATTGTGCATGATATACCATTGGGGTAAACCAAGTCAGTATCCAATCCTTCAGGTTCAAGCCATACAAGGTGAGTAGATTTCTGCGGGAACTTTATAATTTTAGATTCAATAGATGGGCAATATCGAGGACCCTTGACAGTTTCTCTGATATGTATTGATTTATCTAGATTATCAGCGATAAGTTTATGCAATTCGGGTGTTGTGGCCGTCATATGACATTTCATTAGCTGTTCTTGAAGATCTACTTGATCGTTCATAAAAGACATCGGCTGTGGAGGGTAATCAGAAAGTTGAGGAGCCAAGTTTGTATAATCTATGGTCTTCGATGAGAGTCTTGGGGGAGTACCCGTCTTCAAGCGCCCCAAGCGAAAGCTGGCATCACGAAAAGTCTTAGACAAGCCAAATGTTGCCTCTTCGCCCATACGCCCTGCAGGGTGACAAGAAAGACCTATGTGAATTTCACCTCCCAAAAAAGTACCCGTTGTAACAACTACTTTAGAACATTTTAAGATACTGCCATCAGATAATACAACCCCCCTCACTATTCCAAAGTTTCGACCTGAAACGTCAATGACTTGATCTCTTGGGGGCTCAATAATAATATCCTCAACTTGAGCTTCAAGTACTCTCAAGTTTTCATAGTTCAATATCTCTTCTTGCATTTCAGTTAAATATATCTTTCTATCAATCTGAGCACGAGGACCATGTACTGCAGCACCTTTGGAGGCATTTAATATTTTAAAATGAATACCTGCTTTGTCAGTAATACGAGCCGAAACACCATCTAATGCATCAATTTCTCGAAGTAGAGTTCCTTTTCCGACACCACCCATTGATGGATTACAGGATGCTGTGCCAATTTTATCCACACTAGGTGTAATCAAAGTAGTCAAAGTTCCGGACCTTGCTGACCCTGTAGCAGCTTCACATCCAGCATGTCCTCCTCCTATAACTACAACAGGATGATTCGTTGATTCATCTAATTTTCTTTGTAAATCAGCATTAATAATAATAGATCTGCTCTGTTGGTAAAACTTCGTAGTTGAAATTTTTGGAATGAATCTTTCAGAGAACCGTAGCATATTAGCTTAACTCTATAATATTCCGTAATAATGTGCTATTGTTTAGTATTTAATTACGACCTTAAAAGAAGGTTCATTTTTTTGCGTCAATTTTTATACAATATCTCATCACTATAAAAAAAATTTATAGTTTAAAGATATTAATACGGAAAGACTATAGAACAGTATGAGTAAATTAGAAAGCATATCTACAGTAGGCGATGACTTGGATGATGGTTTAGAATACAACGTTGATTTTTCCTCGGGGGAAGAGATCAATCCAGATTCAGAACTTGAAAATGATAACGATGCATCTGATCAAGAATCAAGTAAGGCCAAAACCGAATCTGAAAGTAATAATGGTAAAAAGAGAAAAGCAAAGACATCAAAGTTGCAAGAAAAGAAGAAAGTGAAAATGGAGATGGACATTGCACAGAAGAAAAACTTGTCAAAAGAATCATCTACAGATGTAATTGCAGATTTCATCAATAATAAAATAAGCCAAAAAAATCCCAACTTGTCAACGCTAGAATTATCTGAATTGTACTTTAATAAGACTGATTTCAGATCAACCTCAGAGTTTAACGAAGAAAAACGTAGCTTGGATAATTTATCCAAATTTATTCTTGGGAAGTTCAAAAATATGTTGCCTTCTCATGACAACAAGAAAAATAAGAAAAACAAGAACAAAAAGACTAAAAAAGACGATAAAAGTCAAGATATTTCAAATAGTGATAAACCAGAAGTAGAAGAAAGAAAATTTATTGCCATAGTATCAATGTCAGCATTACGTGCTTGTGACATTCACCGTGCTACTCGTGAGATATCAGGCTCATCTTTAAAACTCATCAACAAAAACAAGCTTGATGTTGACTTGAAATTGGTCAAATCAACTAGATCACGTATTCTCTGTTGTACTCCTGGAAGACTTTTGAAAGTTTTAAATAGCGAAGACCTGGAGTTACACAAGGATGAGATCAAAATCGTCATAGTCGACAATTCATATTTAGACCAAAAACAACAAAACATTTGGGATATAAAAGAAACTCCCGAAGCCCTTAGTATATTGACGAAGGAGGGTGGCTCAAAAATTTATCTTTATTAATATGTATGTATTTTTGCATGCTATAAATTGTATATTATGACCTTACTCAAATAAATAAATCTATAGATTAGGAAATCAGTAATGGTAAACATATACCCTTATTGGATTTGTAAAACTCAGAAATGTTCTTAATGATATGCTTCATAGATGGTTCATCTATTTTGTTTCCTGTTGCTGCATTTAATTTTCTGACATGGTCTTGAATTAGTGAATTAGTCATGTCACTGATAGGTGCACCATTAGCGAACTGTAACAAGTAAACTACATTTGCAAACACCAAATGATACTTCTCTTTAGTGATAGACGAATCATCTATCTCATTGTTGGTTGATAAATGTTCATCTTTACTCTTAATAGGCTCCTTTATATCATCAGTATTATTAGCAGAGCTGGGCAACTTGTCTATAACCTTCTTTTGAATTAAATCTTCTAAAATCCATTCCCTTTTCAATTCAGTAAACATTTCATTTACATGCTTATTCAGAAATAATTTTCCATAATCACAATCTTTTGCGTAATCAGCACTAAAGGGTGTCAAATACGTGGACGATAAATAGAATACTAATGATGACAATCTGAGCGAAGGCCTATTAGGTAAGTCCAGACTTAATACGTCACTTGAATTTGAGAATAAATTAGTAACGAACTTGTCAAACGATTCCATAAACGACGGTTCATTATTATTACTAATATAAGGAATCTTTTTGACAATTGTACTAAATATATCTTTACATGAAGCAAGTAAGGCAGATACTGGTTTGCAAATCCGATCATTTTGATTTTTATCAAAGTTAACCAATCTCTCCAACAAGGTTAATAAAACCCGTAATAAGTAATATAAGGTCTCCACGTCATTATTTTTCTCACTGTCATCTATCAATATTCCAATTTCTTCAATTATATCATCAATTTTATTATATAAAGTCTCGTTGAAATTTTCAGTCAAAGCTTTAAATTCCTTTAACATCAATTCTCTTGTAAAATTGCCCCACTTTCCGGTCAGAGAAGATTTGTTTTTTGAAAGAACTTCAGATAAATGGCTCAAACAATTGCTAGGGGTTAATCTATTCAAATCAAAATCTTTTTTGATGTTTATTATATCTGAGTATTCCAAATATGTATCAAACCAAATATTGATTTGATGACAGATGTCATGATTTGCGGTGGATAATGATGGCAAGGACGAAATTTGAGCCACGAAGTCAATATATTTGTTTAAATCGGTATCAATAGTTTCAACTAAATCTGATGAAAATAATTCGAGACCTTTTGTTCCAGAATTAAAGTTCTTGTTTGCGACAATCCCTTTGATAGTTGATAATATATTAGTACTCAGTTTCGATTTGCAGGATAAATTGTCGAAGAGAATAGTATATATGTGATTTGTTTTTGAAATGACATTCTCAAGCAAAGTCGTTGCAATGGTGTTGTTATTTTTCAGGGAATTTGAGAGTAGCTCGATTAATTTCGAATTAGAACCATTTCCAATCATTGAAACATCCAATTTCTTTAAACTTATAATGAAATTGTGAAAGATGACAAAAGAGTTTGAAAGACTGCTAATGCCTTCCTCGCTACCATTAGAAATCTGTTTTATCAAATTATCGCTGAATCTGGCTAATAGATCAGGGAATTCATTAATAGATACTTCTTCAGAATTGCAAATATCTATTAAAATTAAGTCGTAATTAAATTCAACATTCTCATTCTCAATCCAATTATGAAATCCTATTAAGCTAGATGCTTTCCAAGTACCAGTAGCTTGTTTTAAGTCTTTCAACAATTCATTTTTGGTAGCCTTTTCAGTATTGAAATATCTAGAAACATAATCACAGGTGTTTTCAATGTACTTAAAAATTTTGTAAAAGTTAATATGACAAGTATTTGCTGGTTGTGACGTTGATAAAATCTTCTTTAAAACGTTGTCTAAAAAGTCATATCTCAATTTTATGAACTTGTCGTGGACCTTAGTCAATGTATGCATCTTTTCATTTTTATGATTCAAAATTATGTAGGCAATTAGGTAATTGATAATAGGAGGTGAAACTTTATTGTAAGTTTCGTGCAACGTCTCTTCAGGATCCGAATCTTCAATATGATCTGTATCGTGCAACCTCATTTCATCATCTTCTTCTTCATCATCCTCATCAAAGTCATCCAAATCATCATTGACAAGATAACCACTAGATATATTTACAAAATCTTCCCACACAAGATTCTGTGACGGTTTGTAATTACCCGCATCATTAGAGTATGATGTCAGACTAAATGCATTATAGCTTGCAAGCTCTGCTTCCAAGAAAGTTACAAATGATGCTTTGAATGCTGTCAATTTATCAGCCAAGTGTTTTTCGGCTTTCAATGTATCTTCAAAAATGCATTCCAACGTATAAAAACATTTTGCATAGTATATGTAGTTAGCAGTGTTTTTCAATGGTGGTCTCTGATGTGACGATAATAGCCTTATTTCAAATGACACTAATTGATTGTTGATGATATTTTTCAAAATGGTCAATTTTTCATTTCTTCTAGCTTCACTAGCGTCCTTCCTTCTGATCGAGCTGCTATACTTGGAAAAAGAATTCAGAGTATTAAAACTAACAAACCTCGATTGTCCATACGACAAATCAGACAATTTTTGATCAACCTCACTTGTCACTGCGTACATGTTACTAATATCCTCTGCAATTTTAATTAGATCTCGATATTTATTACCCACCAAACCATGTAAATCATTCTTAGCATTCGTGACATTCTGTTTATATTCTTTATTCAATTTCTGAATTTGTGGAATAGTTAAATGTGTAAAGATATCATCTATTGACGTATCTTCATTTATAATTGAGTTCTCTCGACTTAGGCGAGACTCATTGGTTGATGAACTAAGCATTGGTCTAGGAATCTGCCTATTTACTACAATTGTATCTATGAATCGATTTCATTATCTTGAAATGTCGCAAAACTTGTTGTCACGCTATTCATGATTTTTTTTTCATTACACAAAATATTTGGTGAATCAAATGGAATTATCTAAGAATTGGGACGATAATAGCATTTACTATAGCAAGAAGATTATATCATAGATAGACATAGGAGGCACCGATATTGTTAAAGTGGAACGAATTTAAAGAGGGATCCTAATAATCTAGAATAGCTCTGAACTAAATCGATTAAGCGGTGAATAATTAAAGACTATTCAATTGAACTACTAATATGCATTTTAATATAATATTGATATTTCTTAGTTTCTTCATACATATTTGCATTATAAATTGTTCTCCTCGACTAGAGAAAGTGAATAAAGATATAATACGAAGAGATGATATTGATCGGAGACCGGCGGCAATAGAGAATTCCAATGTAACACCATTAGATTTCAGATCTATAAAAGATTGGAAGCTTACGGACTTACTTTTGGTGAGCGATATAGACGGAAACTTGCATGGCATTGAAAGAAATAGTGGTGCTTTGTTGTGGACGTTGCCAATAGAAGAGCCATTAGTAAAAATAGCCACTAATAGCTCAGCCAGTGGCCATCATGATAATGAAAAAACACAATCTAACATCTTATGGTTTGTTGAGCCTTATAAGGATGGATCCTTATACTATTTTGTGCCCCAATTTGGCCTCAATAAACTACCAACTAGCATTAAAGATCTAGTACTCGAATCTCCATTTTCGTTAAGCGGAGATGATAAAATTTATACTGGTACTAGAAAGACATCCCTTTTTACTATTAACATATATACGGGAGAAATCAAGTCGGTATTTGGAAATGAAGAGAAATGCCCGAATCCCAACACACACTATCATAGTCGAGACTTAGATCAGCAAGATACTATCATGCTCGGCAAGACAACTTACGAATTGTCTATCCATTCCAAAGAAAAATCAAACATAGTATGGAACGTAACCTACTCCCAATGGGGCCCTAATAATATTGATAACGATTTAATTGTACAAAATCAGCAAAGTATGGACAAACTTTATTTCACACCATTTCACGATAAATCATTGCTAGCTATAAATAAAGACATAGGAACACCAGTTTGGATTAGTAAGTTGCCACTGTTGGCTGTCAATGTATTTGATGTTTTCAACAATATGAAGTCACTAAATGATTATGTCGTTTTGCCACATCCATTAAAATACTTGAATGATTTGCAAGCCAGTTCTACTGAACAATCAGCAAACAGTGATTTATGCTTCATCAATAAAACGTCAAACAGTCAAGAATGGTTTGCTATGAGTTTCAATAATTATCCCACACTAATCAAAAGTGCTCCTATATCGGATTATCAAATGGCATTGTATAAATTAGGTCATCAAAATTCACCAGATATCAACGTAGACTTTTTGAAAACATTTCAAGTTTCTGATGCTGATCCTGAGTCTAATAAGATAGCGGAAAACTTGATTCGTGGTATTCATAAATTCAATCACTTAACATCTGATAATCTGTATCAGCCAATATCACGATTTATGGGATATAAAGATGAAGCTATAAAGAAAATTGGAGATGGTAAGTCAACAGGTTTACCGGAGAATTTAGAAAACAATCCAATTCCAAATATTATAGATGGTATTAGATTGTCCAAACCTGAGCAAGATGAAATAAATGAATCCAAAATACCACAAACATCTACCAGCCAAGATTTATTATTATTAGATTCTGGAAATTCAAATAAGTATTTATCAACCCCTGATAGCAATAACTCTACAACAATCACATCATTATCGCTTATCAAAAGAATCTGTGAAGATGTTATCGTTATCTTGGTGTTGTTAGCATTATTAATGTCTTTCGGTAAATTTGGAAAACTAGGGAAAAGATTGAAAAACTTCATCCTTGATAAGAGTATAACCCTTGATTCAGAGCAAAAGGCAGGAAACAGTTTTCCAGACGAGAAAATAATCAATACTATAGCAGCTGATGATGAAGTAAAGAATGAGAAACAGGATACTGATGTTGCTATGGCTTCGTCGAATGTTGAGACTACCGATTCTATTATATCTTCTTCAGATGAATTGAATAATATTAATATACCTGACAATTATAACGAAGGAATTTCCAGCAATGATTATGCCAAGAACAATGGTATTAACATTGATGAGGGTAAAGAAAGACCCATAAAAAAGGTTACAATTATCACACCGAATGAAGCGCTTGAGAAGTCAGATTCCAATGTTGATCGTAATAGTGATGAGAATAGAGGTGAGTTTGAAAATCGTGAACTCAATTACGAGGATTCTAATAGTGAGAATAATCTTGAGGATACAACTACTAAAAAGAAACGTAAAAGAGGAAGCCGTGGAGGCAAACGAAGTAACAAAACTAAACGAGCTTCGACAGAATATGCTAATGATTCACAAGATAAAGAAAGCGCTAATAGTGATATTGACACTGGTGATATTATCAATACTAAAAGCTTAGTTAAATCTAAAGTTACTAAAATCCCAACAAAGAAATTGCAAATTGAAAATAATCTAATAATCACTGACAAAATTTTAGGTTATGGCTCACATGGAACCATAGTATATCAAGGGACGTTTGAAAATAGGCCGGTCGCGGTGAAGCGAATGTTACTTGATTTTTATGATATTGCTAACCACGAAGTTAAACTATTACAAGAAAGCGATGACCATCCAAATGTTATAAGGTACTTCTGCTCACAACTGAGTGAAACTGAAAAATTTTTATACATTGCATTAGAGCTATGTTTATGTTCTTTAGAAGATATCATAGAAAGATCAAAATCATTCCCAAAGGATATTCGATTGAGGGATGTTAATGCTAACGATGTGTTACACCAACTCGTAAGTGGGTTGCATTACTTACATTCTTTGAAAATTGTTCATAGGGATTTAAAGCCTCAAAACATATTGGTTGCAGACTTGAAAAAATCTGCAAATAATTCAGCCAACCCTTCTGCAAGATTATTAATTTCTGATTTTGGTTTATGCAAGAAGTTAGATGCTGATCAGTCTTCCTTCAGAGCTACTACTCAAAATGCTGCTCTGGGGACATCTGGTTGGAGAGCGCCTGAATTATTATTACATCATGATTTACTGGAAATTTCGCCTGATACGATTTCGTCGGTGGGCTCTTCTTCACGTCATTCCATAACTACGACGACTTCAAATGTCAATGGTAAGAGGTTGACTAAAGCAATTGATATTTTTTCGTTGGGTTGTGTGTTTTTCTATATATTAACAAAGGGTTCTCATCCATTTGGTGATAGATACCTTCGGGAAGGAAATATAATTAAAGGTGAATATGACTTATCCGCGTTGAAATTTAATTGTCCAATAGATCATGTTGAGCTGTCACATTTGATAGCCTCCATGATTAACCATAATCCTAAAATGAGGCCTGACACATCAGCAATTTTGAAACATCCTTATTTTTGGCCAGTAAATAAAAAATTAGAGTTTTTATTAAAGGTAAGTGATCGATTTGAAATTGAAAGAAGAGACCCACCAAGTGATCTACTTTTAAAATTGGAAAGTATATCTATAAATGTTCATCAAGGGAACTGGCATAATAAATTTGATACTGAATTTATGGATAATTTAGGAAAATATAGAAAATATCAACCCGAGAAGCTTATGGACTTGTTAAGAGCCTTTAGGAATAAGTATCATCATTTTAACGATATGCCTCCTGCTTTGCAACAAAAAATGAGTCCTTTACCAAACGGGTTTTATATTTATTTCAATGAGAAGTTTCCAAAGTTACTAATGGAAGTATACTTTATAGTCGAGGCAAACTTAAAAGATGAGCATATATTCGAGGAATTTTATTCGTAAATCATATTTATTATCACAAGCATCATTTGATTTCATTTCTACAATCATAATGCATCTACATCATTTTAAACTTAAGTTTTTATTTTAATTCGTACATCATACAATATACAATATATTTATTAATTATATACTCATTTATTCGAACGTTTAGATTTGCTTTGTGGTTTTGTTACTTTCGAAGGTTTACTCTTAGGTTTCAGAGATAACTTCTTCTTCGCTAATGCTTTAGATGTATTAGATTTAGATGAGGATTCTGAGTCACTGTTGTTTTCAGGATCACTAAATTTTGTATGAACGCCAGTAAAGTTTGACGAACTTATAGCTGGTGAGCTCATATTGGAATTTATCGCAGCACCACCACCGTTTATTTTGGTACCAAGGGTATTCTGAATAAAAGTTCTTGCAGCTTCAGCATCTTCCTTCGACGTATCTTTCGTAGCTAATTTAGTTTCGAGATCTTTGTATCTCTTCATGTACAGCTTAATTCTTGTCAATTCCTTCATGATAGGATGTTGATCCGTATTTATGCCAAGGGTTTTCAAGTATGAAAATAGTACTGAAATTAATACATAAGAGTAATTATTGTATATCTTTATGCGTTCCATTTGTGAATCTGATGCTGCTATTGTCTCTTCTAATGACTTCTTTAAAATAGGTTCCAATTTTTCTGTAAGTTGGTCTATTGAATTATCCAACGACTGGACGAATAATTTTACGTTATCAATATTTTCCATGTTATATCGATGTTTTCTGATAGTTATGTGGAATATTTATCTAAATGGCCTATCCAATTTTTAATTTAGTAATGTATGCAAAAGAATAATTTGTTGATAAATATTTAATAGTCTTTTTATTTCTTGATAAAATTTATTGAAGTGCGATGCTCATTACAAGATTTAATTCTTTTCAAGTTACTATTTATATAATTAGAGTACACTATGGCACCTGTAAGAACTAACAGAGAGATCTTAACAGGGGGTAAGAAGTATGCCCAAAAGCAGGCCAAGAAGTATGGGGTTGATGAAGTAGTATTTGATAAAGATTCCCGTCAAGAATACTTGACAGGGTTTCATAAAAGAAAATTGCAAAGACAGAAGAAAGCACAAGAGTATAATAAGGAGCAAGATAGGTTAGCTAGGATAGAGGAAAGAAAGAAGATGAGAGAGGAAAAGAAAAAGGACATTGAAACGCAACTTAAGAAGTTCAACGAGACAGTCAAGGAAATAACTCATTTCAATGATAGTGAAGACGAAGACAGCACTAAAGAAAATGGCGAGGAAGATGATGAAAACTGGACTGGTTTTGGAGAGGATACTGGCAGTGACCAAAATACGGATGAAAATTCCACGAGTGCACCAAAGCATAAGCATAATCTTCCAAAAGGAATTCTTCAGCATAAAGAAGTATACAAAGTAGACGAAGAACAACTTTTACCCGATTCCAATGCAATAATAGACGATGAAACAACTGTGACCGTCGAATCCATAGATAATCCTGCCATTGTGAATGCTCAACAAACAGATTTGCATGAGATTGCTAAAGCTAATAATGTTAACTTGAAGAAATCTGAGGAAATACTAGATGAGTCTATAAAGAGGGCTAAGAATTATGCTGTCCTTTGTGGTGTAGCTAAACCTACAAACAAAGACAAAGTCAAGAAGAAGAAGTTTAGATATTTGACTAAAGCTGAGAGAAGAGAAAATACCAGAAAAGAAAAATCAAAAAAATTCACTAGCAAGAAGAAATAATCTTAATGTCCATATATAGTACATATCAACATACAACGTCTTAATTCAAGTATATCTGTGTATATATCTGACCTTTCCATACATTAAGCCCTACGATTTAGATTAGCGCCGGGTAACATTAAATCTCATCTGAGAAAATTTCGATGTGGAAAAAAATAGGCGTACTAAAGAAACCTCGTTGCACCTTTTTTCTTCTTTTTATTTACTTCTCTACAACAAAGAGTATGTATACTATCACATAGGAGAATGAGATAATATTACCGTGATGACACGATGTCGCCCCAAACGGAGGCTCCTTTTACAGGACTATGACCGATTCGATTCAATGCCAAACACACTGAAAATTCTGAAGTGTAATTGTATCTCATTACTTTACAAATCCAGTAGTTAACATTTACTAACAATTACCAGTAAAATGAAATAGAAAACCATTTCTAGTCTTGTTCAGGATGTTCTTTTTTATAGATTTTTGTCACCTTTTCGGGCCTGTGGCTCTTTTCCTTATTTTCTCTGTTATTTAATCCATGAATATAGATTATCACCCTTCCAATAATACTATGTATGAATATTTGTTGCTTCAACGAGATCAAACGATCTGAATATCAGCTGATTAACAAAAACTGGCTTATGATGTTTCCATGCTAATCATGAATACTTCTGATTAAATCATACCTAAATCGTGAATCACTAAGTGATCACGTCTGAAGCTTAGTATTTTGCCTCAACTGATGTTTAATCGACGATTTCTTAGCTAATTAACTTTACTGGGCTCTTAGCTAATGCAGACTTCCACCGTAGGCCTATGTCCTTCTTTGTAAGCCACTTTTGTATGTCTTCATATTCAGGTACACTGTAGTCTTTCACAGAGTCGAACCAACTTCCGGTCAAATCTTCTTCTGCAGAGCACGTGATATTTTCTTCTCGGAAGTAACTGAACAAGTAAACAGAAATCACAGCTATCTTACCATGAAGCTACTACTATTTTATTCTATAACAACGATATGGCTGAGCAGTCAGAGGCTTCTGGAGTCTATTTCAATGACTTGGTTCCATTACCTTTCAGGATATTGTTCATAATACAGTTAGGTGTATACCTATGGTACTCAATAATATATTTGTGTACATACTATTCACGACTTAATATTTTACAATTATTGAATTTATCATATTCAACTCATAATTATACACAATTGGATCGTCGCCTACCGAGCACAGGCGAATTTGAATCTACATTACCTGCGGAACGGATTGAGAATCAACTTTTGCTAAAGGGAGTCTGGACCACACTTCGATCCATAACGCTTTATAATTTTGTGGGCTATTGTTTGTATTTGGTGATTGAATTGAAATACGATGATCCAGAGCAAGAAAACCAGAATATAATAGTGTCGTTCTTGTACAAAATGATTCCTCTTATAGCATTCTTGTACATATTCTACAAAGTTTTCTATCAATCTGGGTCGAAAACTACCAGCAAATCAATTGGACAATACCGGGTCTATACTACTGTGAAAAGAATTTTATTGGGAAACATTAACTCTTCCACAATGAGAACTAATGACATTTTGATATCGGATACGTTAACGTCTTACAGCAAAGTGATAAACGATATTGGCTTATTTGTATGGGTCAACTATTACACATCTGAAAGCCCATACAACATTAAACTTGAATTCATAATATTATGTATTCCTACGCTTATTCGTATAAAACAATGTTGGTATGAATACTCATGTACAAAAAATGTGCTGCATTTTTTCAATATGGTCAAGTATAGTACAGCCATAGGCCCTTTGATCATTAATTTATTAATTAAAATGACACTTCAAACTTTGTCTCCAGATAACAATGAGCAGCTTAAAGAGAATGAGGTATTGGTTAGGTTAACCAAATTAAATTCCTGGTGGTACTTTTGCTCAGTTCTAAATTCTACATATACATTTATTTGGGATATCAAAATGGATTGGGGATTTGGATTATTTGACATCTTCTTTAAGTCAAACAAAATAGCAAACTACACTATTTTAAGGCCATCACATCAACTCATTTATGGGAATATTTTTGGGTATTATTGCGTCATAGTAATTGACTTCATATTGCGATTCCTTTGGATCTTTAAGCTTTTTATAACCAACGAAGTGGAGAATCGATACATGGTTAATAAATTAGGGGCATTTTTGTTTGGCTCCGATTCTTTTTCCTTGGGGTATGTAGTGGTTGAAGTCTTAGAAATTGTTAGAAGATGGTTATGGTGTTTTGTCAAATTAGAGAGTGATTGGGTGAAGTTGCAAGAGACAATCAGCTCAGACGATATCGAAATGACAAATGTAGATAAAAGAGATACCTAATTACGAATTTCCCTTATATAGACATAGATTTGTGTATTACTATACATTAACTCGAATATAATCATGCAAAATATAAAGATCTTAAAGATACAATGAACATTGGTTGAATTAGACCCTCAGGTATTCAACTTGGACTCTCTATACGTTTCTTCCTAAACCTCTCCTAATCTCCTATTCCAACTTCTCCTTGGCATATAAATACCCATTTATTGGTTATCAAGCCATTTTTGAGATGCAGTTCTCCAGGCTAAGTCAGCCTTTGGACTAATTCTGTTTTCACTTGCCCATTGGTATTTCAAAGGTGACTTGATAAGGGCGTATATAACGAAAACCGATGACATGGTACCGATGGCGGCAATACTTAACTTAGGGGAATGAGCCATATCGTTTATATTTCACTTAATATATCTATCAAACTTATCAACCTTTAGTTAGGTAGGTAATATTTTTATTTCAAATTTGGTTGGTCGAATAGAGTTTTCGGTATATGCACTACCATAAATCAAATAGTCACGTGTCGATATAGTCTATATACATCGAACTGTCATTTCGGCAAAAGAGACTTACGGTTGGGGGGATTGATGGTATGGGATTATATCATCGTAGCGGTCTTGATTGTCTAAGAAAATTTGTGAAATTGAATAGAGCGATGAAAATATGAAAAGTGGCTAAACCCCCCGGATTGAAGTATGGAGCTGTTATACGAAACAATTTAGATCATCTAATGGATATCGATTGCAAAAGCTAACATTGAAGATTTTAGAACAATCTTCAGTCGAGTATCCTTTACAGACCGTCGAAAATTAAAAAACATCTTTCCTAACAGTGAACATCAGCCATAAGTATATAGTATGGAATAGATCACAAAATCGAATTGCAAAATGTGTACAAAGAGAACAGACAATTCCAATAACGAACACAAATATAAAATGTTTCCTATATCAATGATCAGATCTGCATAATATGAACGAATGAATCCCTTAAATTAGACGTGTTGTCTCAATGACTCAATGGATTTAATTTTGCATCTATTGGGCTTGATTTTCATACACTTCACTCATTTGCAGGCCCGTTCCAAACCATTATATGCTAAAATGTAGAATCAACCTAGCATTAGTTTCAATATTTGAGAATGAATGGTTCTATTGTCAGATCAGTAGCACTGAATCACCTTTTAATCCTCCCGAACCCACTTTGCTGCTTTATACACCGAAAAGACTTAACTGATTACTTAATCAAGTATTTGGTCACCTGACTTATGAATTTTTTCAAAAATCTTCCATCAACATGCTAATGAAAAGTACTGAAAACGAATACTCTTCTCAAGTAGTAGATAAATATTAGTATAATGTTAAGACTGGTCTCCAGGGTAAAGGTACCACACATTGCATTAAGTCGTCGCGTTGTTGCGTCGTCGTACCACACATCACGCATAGACAAGTCACTTAAAACCGAGTATGATTCGGTTAAAGACTATGGAAGTTACAAGAATACCATATTTACACACAGATTACCAGAATCAACAGCACAGCAATCACCACCATTAGTTGCTTTGCACTCAAGATTAAATCTCCCAGCATCATTTACGTTGTCAACCTTATCACAAGCCTTGAATTTGAAGAAATACGACGGGTTGGCCAATAATTTCGGGTTAAACACTTTAGGTAAAACCTTATTGTCGTATTATGTATCAGAGCATTTGTTAGTTAAATATCCAAGATTGCCAATGCCGATCCATAATGTCGCAGTAGACTCGTACATGGGCCTGAATGCCTTATTCGACATTGGAAAAATTTGGGGTATCCAGGTCGACACCACATCCAAGTTAGAAAAATACTTATCCCAAGAACCAGAATTCATGCAATATGGGAAGTTAAGATTTATTTCCGAAGAGTTTAAAAATGAAGTTAAAGAATCCGGAGTTTTTGAATTGTCTGAAGAAGAAATTGCTAGTATTAACAAAGAAAGTAACACCTATTTGTCTAGAGAAACTGAAGCATATGCATCTGCTGTTAGATCCATTATTGGTGGATTATATACTCATGCAGGTGAAGAAGTTACGAAGCAATTTATTCATGATCATATTTTGTCTAGAAAATTACCTCTTGACCAAATGTTCCAATTTAGTAAACCAACTAGAGAATTAGTGAGATTATGTGAGAAATTAAACTTCACTGAGCCAGTTGAAATCAGATTAATTGCTGAGACCGGAAGATTGTCAAGTCATGCTATTTACGTTGCTGGTGCCTTCAGTGGTGTTGAAAAATTGGGTGAAGGTGTTGGATCTTCTTTGCAAGAAGCCAAGACAAGAGCTGTCGTAAATGCTTTGATGTCTTATTACTTATACTCGCCAGTGTCTCAAGATGGTAGTGAAGTTAAGTTACCAAGTGACAAGAACTACAAATTTGAGGGCATTGTTGGTATTGGTGATGTTGCTATCTAATTATAAAAATTGTATATATCTGTAAATAGATTTAGTATGTCTTTTTCTTTCATTCTTCAAATTTCTTACTTAATTACATCGTTAATAAATACAGTACTGAAACAAGTTCATATCAATTCCTAGTATGTCTTTTCAAAACTAATTTTTTGTGTATTATTGCAAAAACTTGCATATTTTGTAAAGAATGAATTTTATTAAAATGAATGAACAGGTCTACAAGGCAGAAGTTTATGAAAATTTCATATTATATCGTTAACATGTAAACCGAAAAACTATCCTTATCGTGCCATAAAAACTAGAGATTTACGTACGGACTATGGTCGACTCCGATAATTGTTTCAAATTTAATTTTGCCTGATCATTTTTTTCATAACCTTTCTTGATGTCTACAAAAGCTCTATAAAATCTTACATTAAAATGTTTTATGGTTCATCGAATCATACTACTTTATAATACATCGCTCTTATTGTCAAGACCAACAGAAATTGGCCATAGATAGAGTAATATACATTAATATTAAATCTCATCGTGGTACAAAACCGAGTCAAAAAAAAGATGAACTTTTCGTATTAACCATAATTTAGATAATTATTTTCATATAATAACGTGAATATTATTATATTCTTTCTTCAAGTGCTTAGAATATTCTAAAAGAAAGAACTAACAGTTAACAATGTCATCTCAAGGTAATTTAAATATCCTTATTATCGGTAACGGTGGTAGAGAACATGCAATTACTTGGAGATTAGCCCAATCATCTACTGTCAAGCAAATATATGTTGCTCCTGGTAATGGTGGTACTACCATTAGTGATAAGGTCACTAATGTTCCTGAGTTGTCAGGATCTCCAAAGCATTTTGATGGTTTGCAAAAATTTGCTGTTGAACATGACATTAATTTGGTTGTCCCAGGTCCTGAACAACCCTTGGTTGATGGTATTACATCTGTATTTACCAAGGTTGGTATTCCAGTTTTCGGTCCTTCAGCAAAGGCTGCCTTGATGGAAGGTTCAAAAGCTTTCTCTAAGATTTTCATGGACAAGCACAATATTCCAACTGCTAGATTCAAGAATTTCACTTCATTTGAAGAAGCCAAAAAGCATGTTGAAACAATCGACTACAAGATGGTTTTAAAGGCTGATGGTATTGCCGGTGGTAAGGGTGTTTTAATCCCTGAAACAAAGGAAGAAGCCTTGGTTGGTTTAGACGAAATCATGGTTAACAAGAATTTCGGCAGTGCTGGGGATGAAATTGTCATCGAAGAATATTTGGAAGGTGATGAATTATCCATTTTAACTATTAGTGATGGTTATTCTTTCTTCAACTTACCAGCCGCCCAAGATCACAAGAGAATTGGTGATGGTGACAAAGGTTTGAACACTGGTGGTATGGGAGCATACGCCCCTGCTCCAATTGCGACTCCAGAAGTCTTGAGAAAAATTGATGAACAGATTATCAAGCCTACTATTGATGGTATGAGAAAAGACGGGTTTCCAATGTGTGGTGTTCTTTTCACTGGTATTATGTTGAGTCCAACTAAAGAACCAAAGGTATTAGAATATAACGTTAGATTTGGTGATCCAGAAACTCAAACTGTCTTACCGTTATTATCAGACGATACTGATTTAGCGGAAGTTATGTTGGCTAGTGCTGAACACAGATTAGATTCTGTTACTATTAAAACTAAGCCAAACATGTTCTCAACTACAGTTGTTATGGCTGCTGGTGGTTACCCAGATGCTTACAACAAGGGTGATGAAATCACTATCAAGGAACCATTACCAAAGGATACTTTTATTTTCCATGCAGGTACTGATAAGAAGGATGGTAAGATAGTTACCTCTGGTGGCCGTGTTATCGCATCTACAGCTATTGCCTCCGATTTGAGAGAATCTGTTGACAAAGCTTACATTGGTGTGGAACATGTTTCTTTTGATAAGAAATATAACCGTAAAGATATCGCTCATAGAGCTTTCCGTGATGCTGATAAGGTTTCTAATAAGAAGGGTGTTACTTATGCCGAGGCTGGTGTCTCTGTTGACAATGGTAACCTCTTAGTGGAACAAATTAAAGCTAAGGTCAAGTCAACAGCAAGAGCTGGTGCTGATTCAGATATCGGTGGATTTGGTGGTTTATTCGACTTAAAGAAAGCCGGCTATAACGTTGATGACACATTATTGGTTGCAGCTACTGATGGTGTTGGTACTAAATTGAGAGTTGCCCAAATCATGGACATCCATAACACTGTGGGTATCGATTTAGTTGCCATGAATGTTAACGATTTAGTAGTTCAAGGTGCTGAGCCATTGATTTTCTTAGATTATTTCGCTACTGGAAAGTTAGATATCAAGATTGCTGCTGACTTTGTGAGCGGTGTTGCTGATGGTTGTATCCAAGCTGGATGTGCCTTAGTTGGTGGTGAAACATCTGAAATGCCAGGTATGTATGACGAGGGCCATTATGATACCAACGGTACCTCTGTTGGTGCTGTTTCCAAGTCCAAAATTTTACCACAATTAGATCAAATGAGCGAAGGCGATGTATTGATCGGTTTAAAGTCTGACGGTGTCCATTCTAATGGTTTTTCGTTAGTCCGTCACATAATTGAATCATCCGAAGAATACAATTATAAATCCATTGCACCATGGACCAAGAGCGGAAAGACTATTGGTGAAGAAATCTTGGTTCCAACCAAGATTTATGTTAAGCAATTACTCTCTTCCTTGAATGAAGGCTTATTGCTCGGTTTAGCCCACATTACTGGTGGTGGTCTTGTTGAAAACATCCCAAGAGCATTGCCAAAAAACTTGCAAGCTAAGGTTGATATGAGCAAGTGGGAAGTTCCTGAAATTTTCAAGTGGTTCGGTAAACAAGGTAACGTTCCATACGAGGATTTGTTAAAGACATTTAACTTAGGTATTGGTATGGTTTTAATTGCCAAGTCTGAAAATGTTGATAAGATCGTCGCTAACCTCACCAAGGCTGGTGAAGATCCTGTCATTATTGGTCAATTAATAGAAAAGGCCGATAACGTACCTGCCTGTGTTGTCGATAATGTTGAAGGTTTATATTAGGTGTTATTTGATAAGTTGTATAATAATTATGTTAAATTGATAATTCATGATGAATGAATATTACTGTAGCTAATTGCAAATTGGTGCGCAATGCAGAGGATTATTTACACATCCTTACACAATCTGTGTGACTCTACTTAACATTTTAAAATTGTTGTATTTACATTTTTACTACTGGTTGTTTGTGACATGCATGCAGCATAGGTGCTGGCAATACATGAAAAGCTGGTTTATTCAAATGGCCTATTCTTGTGTAGTGGCTCGTTTCCATTGTTTATGTAATCGTACTCATCGATAATCTCAATATGGTAAACGTTTTGAACATCGTGCTATTGTTCTGAAATCGGTTGCAACGTCAATTAGCGAGCATAGCAAATCTACATTGATGAAATAAAAATTATATTATATTATTAGGTCGATATAAGAGTACATCGATACAGCATGTCTATAGTATATAGAACTAATTCTCTCATCCGTAAAAATTAGTCAAGAAATGCTTCTCAGATTAAGCATATTAAATCTGACCATGAATCATGAAAGATATGTATTCTATTCTATTCGTGACATGAAGGCACAAATGAGAAAAATACCCAGTGTTGGGTGTGGGCCCAGTAAAATCATTCCAATAAGCAGCAGCCAATAAAGAATGTAAGTATGGAAGATATGAAACATAAGATAAAATGGTTACAAACATGAAAAGCTCCTGAAACGATAGGAGCTGATTGTAGTATACAAAATGCAAATAAAGGTAGCAAACTACGTTTAGTCGTAGATAGACCGTAGTATATTGCCATATGCGTAGGACTGTTAAAAATTAGCCATTTACTCATCTGCTAGCTCAACCTTCATCTCTTCTAAGATGTCGGTGGTTCTGAGCTGTCTTTGGTCGGCTATCATGGTGACTAACCCAAGAGCAATATCTTTCAACTCATTGTACTTCTTCAATTGAGAAATATGCTTCTTAACTATAGCTTCTGGATCTTGGTTTGTACTAGAATATGTTAATATGTCTGTTTTTATTCCTTTTGCCGTTTCTTTAAAAATTACTTACTCTAACTCACTAATGAGAGCGGAACACTGGTTTTTAATATCTTCCAACCGTTGCTCTTTTAGTACCACCCGTTGTTGTATATTTAAATCATTGCTTGTACTCGGAGGCACTATAGTAGTCGAAGATGTGTTATTATTGTTATTCGATGAATTCTTATTTACCACTGGTGTTTGAGGGGCATTGCTTGGTAGATCTGTTGCAGTTACCGGCTTAAACATTTTGCTTTTATCTTCTTGTTTTGAATTCAACTCTAAGCACAATTTCACAATATTCCTATTAATAACGAATAAGATGGATTAGTAAAATATTTAAGTATCTTTATTTTATATAATATAATGCTAACAATTTGTTACAAGTAGTATAAGACCGTTAATGAAAAGAAATTATCGCTTAGCTTCGCACACAAAAACTTTTTTAAGAAGATGCTTTATGTAAGCATGGATGATAATAGAAAGTAATGGTATCCAATTCTAATAGGAAATAATATCGATTTCAATGGTGAATAGAATTAATGACTTCGTATGTATATTTGAATCTATATATGCTCAGAACCCATTCTGTTTTTTACTTCATCAAGTCTAGATTGTACTATTCTGACAATCTCTTTGATCTCTTGATTTGAATACTGTTGATTGTTTTCGGATTCTTCTTGACTAAAGATATTGAGGGCTCCGTTGCTTCTATCATTGACCCATTTCCAGATGGCGACCTCGTTCTGTAATTTGGATTTCTTATTATGGAAATGAGATTCGACCGACGGAATCACAAAATACTTATCATCGTTGATCTTGATTTTGGATACGACCGAATCTTGTGAAATAATTTGTAAGTTAGAGACGTTGAAAGGGTCTTTGGATTTGTGATGGAAGAGGTAATTGTACACCTCGGTGAAAAAAAGAAGCCCAATGAAGAGGATAATTATCCCGGAAACAAGATCACCAACGTAAGGAATGCTAATGGTCTTTCCAATAGCCTCGACAAACAGTTGTAGTTTCTCAAGAGTGGATTTTTCCGGTTCAGGAATGGCTTCAACGACTGGCTTGTTGGTGGCCTCAGACTTCTTTCTCTTTCTTTTCTTCTTATCTAATTTACCAACTCCACTAGTACCACCAGATCTTATGATGAGATTTATAGAATCAACCATGCTCTTCATTGATTCTTTTTGGCCGTCAATACTTCCCTTTTCTACGGCTCCCTTAATCCATGATCTACCACTCCATTCTACCACCGTCAAACTGTATATTCTGGTGCAATTATTCTCAGCCCAACTAAGGAATATTTTGGTTTTAACTTGAAAAGAGTTACCACTTGGTACATCAGGAGTTGTTGTGACTTGCTCAACAAGAATGTATTTATCTGTGTCAAACTCGACCAATTTATCTTTAATTACACATTTCGTTTTTTTGGGACCAATTGGTCCGTTTAAAGGTTTGGTATATGTGTAATTTCTCTCCTTAGACTCAGTAGATAATTCTGTAATATCTTCGTCACTTATATCATAATTTTTTTGGTCCTTCAATATCTTGATAAAGTTCGAATTATCTGGACCAAACAATATTAAAAATACTACACCCAACGGAGCTTTGACAACATCATCGGATATAAACGTTTCGTCTGATCCTTTGCTGTAATCTATATCGGTTTGTGAATGTGTCAATGGACCTACTACTGGAAGGCCATGGAAACTATCAGACGATTTACTGTCACCTTGTCCTATATTGTTACCATTGCTAGAACGCGACTTGACTACCTTAATATCGTCTCCATCAGTTCTGTTAGCTAGAAAATTATCTAAGGAACTAGCTTCGCTGTGAGAAACAACAATGCTTGAACCCTCCGCATCTTCTTCATCATCCCCACCGTCATCGTCCTCACCGTTTCTACTATTGGATCCATTTGGAAATAAGTCCTCATCGTTTGCAGTGCTCTCACTTGAATAATTTTTATCATTTCTCTTTTTATCCAAAATGCTATTACTCTCAACACTATTACCTAATAATACCCCATGCCAAACATTAGTTATCAAGGCAAATGTTGAATCTCTCGATAGGAATGTTGCAAAAACATATTTATGATATAAAGTTCTAATGATCATGCCGTTAGGAAATAATACTGCTGTGGATTTTTTTTCTATTTGAATGACCTCTTGCAATGGGATTATGATGTTTGTAACCCACCCTAGAATGTTTGAATTAAAACAAATATAATGCTCTGATAAATACATTCTACCCTGAACTAGTATATCTTTAGATAAAGCGCAACCAAATTCATCAATTAATTTTTCATTAGGAGGAATACGCTTGAATATTTGGTGAAATTCCTTATTTCTTTTTTCACTTGCAGGCTTTATGGCCGATGTATCAAGAATTTCATTAAGATCATCATCAGAATTAGCGAATCCATTATCTATACTTTCGGACTCACTAGGATATTCGTCGGAATCTTCAATATCAGTACTTTTCTTTTTATTCCCAGGAGACTTTACTCTTTCTAAACTCGTACCATTGGTTATAGATTTCCGACGAACCTTCTTATTTTCATTGTTACCACTAACAGTTAATTGGTTAGACAAAGGAATTTGCTTGCTGACACCATCTGACGACGGATTTCTCTTTACTTCTTGTGGAATGAGATTTTCACTTGGTTGTGTTGGACCTGTTTCCTTTTTTGCAGTTAGAGCTTCATCAAAATCATCCAATTTCAAATCCCCAGTTCCTAAAGTGGCAATGGGAGATTCCCTCACGGCTTGAAAGTGAACATTGGAAAGCGAATTGGTAGTATGACTAGGTAGCTCTTCAGAATATCTGGGGTAATCCAAATCAGTTTGTGAATCAGATTTCGATGATTTGGACTTTGTTATAGAAGGAGATGAAGTATTCTTACCAAACGTTGCAGGTTTCAATAAAAAATCTAACTTATGACTGAAGGATGTACTCTTCTCGTCCCCTTCATCAATTGTCGATTCATGAGTTTTTGGTGGTTTATTATCAATTGAAGATCCAATCATGTTGGCTGCATTATGTGCCACATTAAATATGGAAGACAAAATTCCATTGGAATCGTTATGGGAATGATGGTTTCCGTCCGACAAGTTGGATACGTCTCTTTCGTTAGTTGCTGCCGATGTCCTGGTTTCAAGCTCAGAATGTTCCTGTCCTTGACTTGAAGGCGCAATATCTATGGGAGTATTTTGTGATGATGCTAAGGATGTAGAATGTGAATGTGGAATTGATACTAAGGAGTCTGCCCGGGCCCTTTCTGTAGGCGTAAACGATTTTGTTCTCTTCACCGAAGCCGACCTAGATCTAGCTCTCGAAGCCTTTTTAACCGAAGAATCTTTTCTTTTCTGCTCCTTCGTGGGAATATCATCCTTTACAGATTTCTTTCTCTTTAGGTTGACCATAACAATCAATGCCAGATACTGTTGTATCTTTGTGAAGATGTATGCTAATATTAAAGTCCGTTTTCTTGAAATTTCAAATCCGCGAGTCCAGGAAATTTCAAAAAAGGGTTGATAAGAATTATATTGCTGAATAAAGCAAGTACTAATAAAGTCAGTAAATAAAGAAAAAATTAGATCCAAGCTTCTCAAGATTAATTGCTAAATAGATAGAATAATTATTTGGTATTGTAAAAATCAATGTCATAAAATTTTGATTTGGGAATTTGTAGGCTATCGGTAAACGTTACGGTATTGAAACCCCAGAGTTGAAAACTGCCTCGATGTGTGTTTCTTCGCGTTGTTTACAATTGCTAGTTTATTCAAAGCTTAATGGCTATGAGGTACATTTCTGTAGGATTACGTTAGTATTTATCCCTTATCGTGTAAATTCCAATACATTCAATTGTGTACCTCAATAGGCTACTAGCATATATAGGACGGAGTTTAGAGGTTGCGTAAGGCTAATTGAATGGGAAGCTGCAATGTAATGTCTCAAACCATAATATATAATAGATAATTGTTGCAAATTGAATCCAATCAAAATCATCTTTTTGTCTACAAACAAGGATTATCAATACTGTCGCTTGAGATATTTCACATATGATACTCTGCTTCAGACAAATGGTACTATTATGAGCTATATAATTATACGAAGGCAATGATCTTCACTTTATTCAGCACTATTTTTTTTGCAATATAGCTGTAAGTGCTATTGTTGTTTCCATAAAAAAGTACCAAGAAACAAGGACCATTAACACTTATCAACCTCTTTAAGAACAAATAAAAGAACCTAGTTATATTCTACTAAAGTCACATTTGCATTAGTCTAGTATCACTTTTGTGTAATTTTGCCCCACTAATCATATGAACCTTCTTTCCCTCGGTCGATGTCAATCAATATAAAAGTAATAGGGACTATCCAACGTATCTTGATTCCTTAAACAAGCAAACCTATTAAGAATGCCTATCTTTTCGAGTTTGAATAGCTTTGTAAGACGCCATAAGAAGAAGTTAATAGTAACAGCAACTTTGACGTTCTCGGCATACTTTTTGGTCAATCAATTTATCATTAAGAAGTTCAAGAACTTCCAAAACTCGTTGAGACAAGAATTGTTTGTTAAAGAACAAATTAAACGAAGATTTGTTCAAACACAGAATGATTGCTATTTAACAATATTAGCTTTACTTCCTGTGTTAACTCAACCAATTGTGAACCACTTACCTATTGAATTAATTACCCAGGCATTGAAATTGAAAAAGACCAACTCGAATCCCACACCTCAAGAAATATCAGATTCTTTATTGACTACAGATAACTTAACAATGCATCAAAATGCCAGTGATTCAAGTGATTTATCGCACTATATGAGTTTATCGAAGACAGAATTATGGAAGTTATTGAAAATCAAGACATTAACTAGAACATTAACTTTGATGTATTCTATATCAGGATTGTTGTTGTTAACCAGACTTCAATTGAATATCTTAGCTAGAAGATCATATTTGGAAAGTGCTATTATATTAGCAGGCGGTAAGGTTAATGATACGGAAACCTCTCAAGATTATTTCATCGAACAATCCTATTTGTCATTAAGCTGGTGGCTATTAAATAAGGGTTGGTTGAAAATAAGTGATTTAGTTGAAAAGGTTGTTACTGAAAAATTCAACTCTATCAATGCCAGAACTGAATTATCCATTAATAAGTTTGATGATCTTTTATGTGAAATCGTTAATGATTTATCTACGAACAACAATCAAGAAATTTTGAATGCCATTTTCCCAATCACCTACGATAATTTAATAGAGAGTTTATTAAACACAAACCCTGAATTAATTAAAGAATTAGACATAGAAGACTCGATAATGCTCAAACTAATCAATGAGACTACTTATCTAGTCAGCAACGAAGCATTCGGAGATATATTGATAAACATGGTGGACAGCTGCAAATCCACGCTAATCGAAAACTTGTTATTGAGTTTAGACCCAGAGAATGCATATACAAACCAGGAGAAGGTAATCGATATTTCGAACATAAAGCAATTCAAATTGGCCAATTTATTGGCTCAGTTGAGTATCCAATGTGGAGTTTTATGTGATAATAATAACTTAACGAATGATAATTTCAGTAACGAATTATCAGGTAATATCTACATGAATAATTTGAATGAGATTGAGAGCTTAGATGAGTTTAGTGCCTCCATTTATTCAAATTTTGAGTAACGTTTTTGTATATTTATTAATAAATCTAGTACCTTAATGACCCTTTATATAATCCATCTTTCATATAGAATATTTTCATCTTGTGCTTACAGTTCCAAATAAATGAATAATAAGGATGAATATACACTTTAGTGTGAATTCGCGCACGACTCTCTAGGTAACATAATAGAAATATTCACTATCAGCTTATATTATAAATCAACGATAACACCTTTAAGTTTAATATGTCACAGCCAAAAGTTATTATAATCTCATCAGATGATGAGAAGTTTCCAGTCGATGTCAAGATAGCTGAGAAGTCGATTTTGATCAAAAAGATGATCGAAGATTTGAATCCCGACGGATTGGAAGAAGATTTCGAAATTCCAACACCAAATGTAAGATCAACTGTGTTATCTAAGGTATTAGAGTGGTGTACACACCATAAGAACTCTGTATTTCCCGATGATGATGATGAGGATGCCAGAAAATCAGCCCCTGTTGATGAATGGGATAAGAATTTCTTGAAAGTTGATCAAGAAATGTTATACGAGATAATCTTGGCCGCCAACTATTTAAACATTCGCCCGCTCTTAGATTCAGGCTGTAAAATAGTTGCTGAGATGATCAGAGGTAAATCTCCTGAAGAATTGAGAAGAACTTTCAATATTGTCAATGATTTTAGTCCAGAAGAAGAGGCTGCTATAAAGAGGGAGAATGAATGGGCCGAAGACCGTTAGGTTTAATTAATGTTATTACCGCATGATATCTGTTTACTTATGTTACACCTTCTATATAGTTTTTCTAATTAATATGTGGCTTTAGCTCCTTATAGTAGGGATTCTTTGTAATATTCATTCGCCGAAATATTTAACTTTTGATCAAATGGTACATGCAACTCACACTTGCATCAATTCTTAACAATTGATGTTACTATCTAGGTTAATAATCTTATATAGCCCATGATATAGGGTATGGAAGGTTGTAGGAGTTAGAAATTGGAAATACACACTACCACCTCTATTATCGCAAAAAAAGTTGAACTTGCGTATGAGCGACATGCTTGTAAAAGAAGCTATATAATTAGTCCCATACTTTAACTTATAGTGTACTCACTTCATTCATGGCCCTGTCAGAAAATATAAATGAATTCAAAGAATCACACCTATCGAATTTGACTCATTCGTCTATCGAAGAACTAACGAATTTTGAGAATGACATATCTCAAGAATTCAACTCGCTTTCAAAGGAATACCTAAATTCTAGAGTTATCAGAATTAATCACTTGATTAATTCTCTAAGCTACTTTATCTCGAAAGTTTCCGAGGACGAAACCGAATGGCTGGAGGTTTTTAATACTCAAACTGAAACTATAAACAATATCAAAACCAACACCGAAGATTTAATTTTATCAAGCAAGACTGGATCTGTTAAAAATATCTGCGATACTCTTGATGAATATGAAGATACGTTAAAATACTTGTTTCAGAATATCCAGTCACCATTAAGCTTACTTGGAAACTACAAAGTTAACTTTCTGGCAAAAGGTGATGTCGCAAACAAGGGCCGCCAATTACCATTCGAAGGTCAATTTGACAATGTCATAAGGCCTTATGGAAATGATTTAAAAAGTATTTTGGGTGAAAGCCATTATAATCATTTGTTATTGGAGTCTACTACAAGAGCAAATTCGACGGTGATTTGGAAGCAATATAAGAGTGATTTGGTTGCATACAAAAATAAATTAATAAATGAAACGTACGAGCAACTTAATGACTTATATAAAGAATATCACAACGTCAATGAGGGCGAACAAAAAAATAAGAATAAAGAACAATACTATAGGTCGGTGATTTCTCAAGCTGATTTAAAAAGAAGCTATGATGCTGCGAATAGTGATACTGCCGTTTCGAATAATCATGACAATTATTACGACTCTAATAATTCATACTTCAAGAAAAATAAAATAGAATTAACAAATGAGAAATATCGTATTTTATCAAAGCTAGAAAGATTCGAAAAAAGTCAAGCAGCCCATTCAAACACTTCTAATATAAGCTATAAACTAAATTCTTGTTCTGGTTTGAGCAGCAATGAAATTGCCAATGATATAAATTTGCTAAGGAATAGTATAGCGAATAAGTCGATTATTAATGATGAGGAGGAGGTGGATTTTATCGAACCACAGACAGATACCAACGAAGAAGATCAAGAAATAACTGAAGAATCATTGAAACAGAAATATAAGCAGTTGCTCAGCATGTCATCAGATACAGTATCACAGCCGAAGCCTAAATCTCTTAGGTCAATTTTGGCAGATTCTAGCCCGCCAATTACAGCTACGACGCTACCTAAATTACAGATTCCTGACTTACCACCCCTAGAAGCTTTCTCCAAACTACAAAATAAAAGCGAAGAAGTTTGAGATATATATATATATATATACTGAATCGGTAAATACTATTTATTCTTTCTCTAATAAGATACTTGCATTTTTCAACTCAGCTTCATTAATTGTTGAATCTAAGGAGTCAATTAGTGACTTTTTAGCCTTATTAGAAACATTGGATAAAACAAACCTATCATCCTTACTCAAACCATATTCAGCATCACTATTTTCTATAATATACTTGAGATATTGGTAAAGTGTTAATACTGTATCTTCATCATAGTTGAATTTATGAATAAGTCTTTTTCCATTTGGAAAGCGAATCTGTATACGAGTTACCGAATTTCCAGCACTTGGTTCTTCGTGATTAAGCGCGTGTATACTTGCAAACTTGTCTTTTTCTTCCTCAGGGACTGAATTATTGTCAGGGACATCTTCTTCATTTGGTTCATCAACATCGATAGCATCATCAGCGGTCGTGCCACCATTTTGGTTATCAATAATCGATTGCTTCATGGCGAACTCAATTTGTTGCTCTTCAGTTAACGCATCTGGATCAAATTTAGCTTCATGGTTAATAATTGGATTATTCGAATTCGGCAATAACGAGAATTTATCCAAAAACTGATCAACTTCCTTAAGCCAAGTTTCAGACTCAGGAATCTCACCATCCGTCCATTTGAATACTCGTTCACCTGTTAATGGATCTAAAATAGAAATATGAGGATATTTATCAATTGAATAGAAGTTTTTGTAATTTGTACCATTTGGTGAATCATGTTGATACTGTAAAAATATGAAGTTTTCACGAACAACACTCTTGATTTTCAGTTGTGACCAAAAATCCCTATTTAAAACTTGGCAAGCAAACTCAGATGAATCTTGAATGTTTATTAAAATCCACTTTTTCAGGCGTCTACCTTCTGCCTTTGCTGCATCCAAATCGATTTTAGACATTATATCAAATGGAGGTCTAAACAAATTGGCTAGTCTTCTTTGTGTAGATGTTAACTCACTCATTCTTTCGTTCCTGTTCACCCTTCTTCTTGAAAGAGGCCTTTCTCTATCGCTTTCAATTACCTCTCCATCACTATCCAAAACCATTACTTCATCATCATCATCTTCTTCGTCATCATCATTGTCATCTGGCAATTCCTCGAACCGACCAAAATGAAATTCATCTCCATCATCATCATATCTTTGGTTAAAAACACCAACTCTTCCAGCTCCGAATATATCGCCTGGTCTGCTAATATGAGGTGCTGACGTGAATCCCCCGCCAAATGAATCGACCAATGTCTCGTGTCTATGAATATTTGTATCTGCTTCTCTAACACCCGAATCATCATGTCCATAGGCTTCTTGTTGAAGTCTTTGGGCTAATTCTTCATCATTTCCATGAGATGCATTCTGACCAGAAGCATTAGCCGGTGGGTTTGATTCCATGTATAAGGTAACTGCGTACTCTAAATCATTATTGGTGATATCTAAGTACTGTTTGGCGGTAGACTCATCTTCTATTCCTGTGACTGCTAAAAATGTTGTAACTAGCTCATCCATTCTACAATTCTATTGCTAATGATACGACAATCTAAATATATCCTAGATAACTGATAGAACTTTGCTATACGCATTCCATCATAAATGGCAAAATGTCGCATTTGGTTGATGATGATGTGCGACATTAAACAGAAGTTTTTGTTTTAGAGTGGGGAGTAAAGTTGATGGTAAAAGCCGATTGATTCAAGTATAAGTCTCTTTCGTAACTTAATAAGAATTATCTTGAATTACGGATATATTTAACGAAATTTGATATTGAATACACTGTAATAGTTGTTGACTAATTTTGGTTAAGGTTTATTAAAAAAGTTGTACTAAAAATTGTTATTGAAGTAAGCGGCTAACAATCTCGAATTGATCAATCCCCGAGCATATATATTACGATAGATTACATCAAGTATACTCGGACATTAACTGATCAGATCGTTTCTTATCCAGTAACTTAGGAGCATAATAACCATACTGATCCTGCATTTTCCAGCCATATTTTTATATTCTTTACAGTATAGTTTGAAATACTTTATGTTGATTTAGGATCTGTTTGAACTTTATCATAAACCATAAATCATTTGCATTTTATATATACAAAAGCACTAATTACCATTCTTATTCTGAAATCTGTGCTGAAGCTACTTGTGGATTGTTAGAAATTGTTTTGTATTAGTTGCTGTTTTTTTTATTTGATTAATTGCATATTTACATCGCCTAGAGTATCCAATACTAGTTGGATTTTGTTTAGGGCAACCGATTTTCATCTGTTTTTATATTATTCGTTTGATACAATATTTGGTTTGGTTATTGTGATACATATTTTTTTAAGGATTTAGGGTCTAACTATTGTTTGGAATGGACGAGTACGAGAAATACGATAACGGTGATCTTTTAAGAAGCCGATATGAAAAAGTTACAGATATCAGTAAAGGCTCATATGGTTTAGTTTCCCTTGCTAAAGATAAAAAACTAGATGATAAGCTAGTGGCAGTAAAATTTATATATCCTTTGGATTATAATACAGAGAATAAGTCTAACGAAAAAGGAAGTGGACGTGCAAGCTCATCACCTGCGAGATATCGTTCAGTTGTAAATGCAGAAACACAGCGCAAGAATTCTATTTTAAAGGCCTTATACGAGGAGGCTGCAAAGGAAATCTCAATTCACAAGATTTTAGGAGTCCACCCCAATGTCACGTCCTTATATGACCATTTTGATTCATGTTTAGTATTAGAATATTGTTCCCGAGGTGATTTGTACGAGGCTATTCAAAGTGGGGATGGTCCTACAACTTCTCAGGACATTAAAGATGCATTTCTCCAGGTTTTAAACGCTTTAGAATATTGTCATTCTAAGAATGTTTTTCATAGAGACTTAAAACCTGAGAATATTTTGATTGGTGAGGATTGGTCCATTAAATTATGTGACTGGGGTCTTGCGACAACAACCCGTAAGATCACAAATAGGAACGAATTTGATATTGGTTCTGAAAGATATATGGCTCCTGAATTATTTGATGAATCAATTGACCATTATGATGCCTCAAAAATTGATTTATGGTCAATTGGGATTATTTTATTAACTTTAGTATTTCATAAGAATCCTTTTCAAGTTGCAAATTATTCAGATAAAAGGTTTATTCAATTTGCTAGTAACAGAGAAGCATTGTTTGATATATTTTCTACAATGAGTGGTGAGATGTTCTCGGTAACTAGATACTGTCTTAACATTGATCCTGATAATCGTGACTTGCAGAATTTGCAAAACGAATTGACAGCATTGAAGTACTTCACAATCGACGAAGAATACTGGGCAAGTGATTATGAAGATGAAGATCTAGAAGAAGCTGATATTGATGAGGATGAGGCTGATGATAATGAATACTTCGAAGATGATGTGGATGATTACTATGGTCACAACGAACCAAAGAAAGGTGTATCAGTATCGATTTCACCGACTAAATCTATACCTTCAATCACCACTACTGATACTGAAAGCAAATCGATTATATGTTTAAAACCCGAGACTGATTCTACAACAGAGAGTGATACCATGAATTCTAGGGCAACCGAATTAAAAGATGCGACAAGTCATGAGCCAAATATGCCACACAATCATAGAGCAGATGCATTATTATCCTATAATACCAATATGAAGCCGATTCCTATCTCTGATGGCAATGTTAAGTTTATTCGAAACACAAGGAAACCTTTTAATGTTGCTTCATATAACCAATCGGCTATCAATAGTCATCATAAACTGAATAATAATTACAATAGCTATAATAACGGTAATGGATTCAATAACAGGTTTAATAGAGAAGATTTCTTTACTCCTAAGTCAGTATTTAATCATTATATGGACAAATACGGCGAGCAGAGATCCAATAATGCTGGAAAATACCAACATCCTCATCATCAGAATAAATATAATAATAGAAGTGATTGGAAAAGAAACGGTAATAAACGTCCTTCATGGAAAAAGAATTACAAGACAAATAACTCAAAGCAAATTAAGGGTCGTAATTCATATTATTGTAATAATTATAATAATGAGAATGATGGTTATAATCATTATTATTCTAACTTCAGTGATAGAAGGAAATCGCATCTGTCTTATCCATCTAAATCAAGGAAGAATAATACAACAGGTGATTCACTTGCAAATTCTTTTCATGCTCTTAGTCATCAACATAATTCTACATCTGTCAATTCATCTACCTCAGGAAAATATATACCTCCTTATTTGCGGTCACCACAGTATATGAAGTCACCAGATATTGGTCCGTTAGCTGAAGAGATTGATAATTTGGACTTAAACCACGATGATGAAGAAGTTTTCCAATTGGATGGCGACTTTGAACTTGGGAATATTAGAAACAATGAATCGCGAGTTACAAGTAATAAACCACTGATTTCAGTAACTAACGGGGATATTGGTTTCAAAAAGCCCAATTTCAAAGTTCCAACTTATACAATTCCTAGTGTTGTTTCTGATAATCCAGTTTCCGGACATGGTAGTTACAGGACTAGTAACCAAATTCATTCTCATAAGAGTGCTACTTATCGTGGAAGTGGAAATAATACGAGACGTAATTCAGCGGTAACGTCAAATAGTACAAGACCTATATCCATGGGTAGTAATGCTTTAAGTGATATTGCACCTACTTTGCTGTCGTCGTATTCAACTAGTGGAAAGTATATTCCTCCATTTAGAAGAAGCTCACACGGGCCGATATGTATTGGTTCGTCGACTAATTCGCAATCTATCAATGCAAAGATCAAAAATCATTATGTTCCTAATTTTCAAGATAAGCGAAAGATTCCAGGTGATGAAAAGAATTCAAACAACATTCTAAGCCAGGTGAATGAAAACAGAATTGCCTCGTCCTCTGTACCGTCTGATAAGACAGATTGGTTTTCTTCGAGAAAGGTGTAGGGTATTGATTTTCCATTAAATACCATTTCACCAGGTTGTTTTTTTTACATCTTTCTCCTGAAAAATATTGTTCAATTTGAAGGTTTATGTCAATTTTTTGTTTATATATTCTTACGATTTACGAAATATTTTACCATTATATATTCAACTGTATTAGCCTAAGTAAACACTATGTATCGCAAATCATCCTTTTTAGTGCTTCAAGTGAGGGTATGGTTCTATCATTTATTAGTCCTTCAGCTTTTCTGTTCTTCATAATTACCACAGCATCTTGGGTACCATATCGTTTGGTTAATTTGGAATAAAAAAGCCCGCACGCATTACATAATGTTCTCGAGCCGTCAGGACCACGTCTCCATTCTGGTGTTTCGATGGACTCACAATGCTTGCACTTAATCTTTTGTTTCTTTATTTTGTGGTGTTTTGTTCTAGGCTTACTGATCTTCTGGGTATTTGGTGCTCTTGGCAGGTGTAGTTCTTTATTCTTCATGGACGGAGATTCAGTGAGTTCTCTTCCGATGTAGTTATTCTCTCCATGATTAATACTTTCACATCTACTGTTGGATCCAATATGTTGAAGGTTTGGCGAGCCTCTGTCGTTGTCGCACATCCACTTTTCATGAAGTTTTCGAGTTTCAATTTCATTCTCAAGTTTATAATTATATTTCATAATCTTTAACTCATGTAGTACTAGAGAAAACTTTTCAAGACTAGAAGAAATATTATTATATAATACATCAGGAATATCCATGGCCCATCTTTTGAATTCTTCTCTGGTGATCGCAAACTCGTTTTTCTGAAGATCCTGGCTGAACAAAATTTCAGATGCAAAATTTTTGGGTTCTGTAAGTCTCGCTCTCAGCAAGTTCGTATTCATCTCCTCAAAGCAATCATTTAA